GAGGACAATATTCAGAAAATTTATCTTGATCCTGATGTGTTTATTTACAGTCAGAGTCAAAGAGAGATTTCCTTCTCACCTCAGACAAGCTACACTCAGCTACTAGATATTTACTCTGAGGAATATAAAAATGATGGAGATCAATACGAATATCGCGACGCTGATTTGGGTGACGACCTTCCCAATGATGACCCAGATGAGCCAGATGATATAAACTTTTATGATGATCTTGACTCAGTTGGGTGGGAAAATCTCGAAAATCAAATGGAGGGATGATAAGTCAGACGAAGGAACAGGCATGCCTCACTCCAAAGTGACTGTCATGAGACATGTTCCGCAAAAGCCGGTTACTTTTTATCTTTCCCAAAAGATAAAGATAACCGACTTCAGTTACCTCTGTAAATAACCTTAGGGTTAGTTAACCATAGTTAGTTTAATGTAACTAGGGTTACTTTTACTGCAGTTACTTTGTAACTCAGGTTAGTTGGTTTGTTTTTTCTTTAAATAGGCCTTCGTAGAAGTAAAAGAAAGGTTTTGGAGAATAGCAAATATAGAAGGTAGAAAGAGAGAGAGTCCAGGAAAGGTTCAAAGGTTGTACTCAGCTCAAATCCTTTGTAATCTGCACTCTTTCAAGTATGTATAAAATATATCTCATGTTATTTTCTTTAATGTGTTATTTAGCTTAAACACAAATCTTTGGCAAAGAGGATAATCTGTAACTTTTGTTTGTCTCATTATTCTATATTCATATACTTATATATAGATGAAGGATTCCTGTTTCAGGCTGTTTTCGACTTCTTTCACAAAGATCTTTAAAAATGGAAAGATAATTGTTTTTCTTGACCTACACCACTGTGGAGAGTAAGGAAGTTAAACCTGAATAGCCTGGTAGAGGAGAAATTCTTTACTACCTAGCCCTACTGGAGAGTATCCTGTTGAAGCCGAGGATGGCGTTTTAGGAGAAATCACCAGGGATTTGGAAATCAAGTTTCTTGATTGGGTTGGTCACTAGCTTTCTTGGGAAAGAGGGGGGTCACTGGGTTTTGAAAAACTTGGAAAGATAATGAATTAATGGGTAAAGAAAGGGATCGAAAATATAATGGTATCAGAGCTTTTTCATTTACATATGGGTATGTGGTATAGAAAGTGGACAAATTCTAGTTTACAGATGAAAATCTTTGCCAAAGATAGTTGTCTATCTGCTTGTCTAGTTTGTTTGTTTGTTTTATATGTTAACCATAGTCTATCTGCTTTTACGAAAGTTATCTGCTTGGTGTGTTAAAATTCAACTTTGCATTAATTTGTGTCAATCGTGTTAGTCTTATAGTTTTCCTTCATATCTGTTTGTTAAGATTGCAGTAGAAATCTTCTTGTCTAAATTTTCTTCTAGTGTCAGACTAAAACTCATATAATTTGCTAAAGGTCAACATTTTGTAAATTGCCACCTTTTCTCATCTACGTAATTAGTCTTCTTTGTAAGAAATTGCTTGGTCAAAATTGGTTACTATTTGGTCAACATTTGCTGACTACTTTGTCTTTTGCTAATATTTGGCTTTCCTTTGTATAGCTATCCTTTACTTATCTGCTTTGTCTATCTACGTCAAATAAATACTGTTGATATTATTATCAGTTACTGTTTTGTTACTTTTGATATTATTATCTGATGATACTATCTTTATGAGTTTAGATTATTTAGATCTAGCTATCTCACATCCTTATAAAAA